TTTTTCGGTTTTTCACATTTGATGAGAAAATTCCAAAGAAAATCGAAAAATTACTTCTCTTAAGTACCACCTCAAGAACAAAGTATTTTCTAGGGTATTGCTGAATCGTATAAATCCCTATATAAAAGAAAATCAGGGTGAATATCAATTTGGTTTTAGATAGGAAAGATCAACAATCAAACAAGTTACAGTTATAGGTCAAATTATAGAAAAGAGATATGAATTCCGACTAAATTTCTGGCAAATATTTATTGACTTTAAAATTGCCTATGATAGTATTCATCGAGAGAGCCTATACAACACATGACTGAATTTGAAGTACCAAAGAAACTAATACAACTGATCAGGATATATATAGAAGAAACATAATATCAAATCAGAATAGATCAGAATACCTCTAAAATCTGTTAAGTACAAACAGGGTTATAACAAGGTGCTGCGTTATCCCCATTATTGTGTAATGTGACTCTAGGGAAAGCGTTTAAAAAAATGCAAAAAGAAACGACTGGAATAGAAATAAACCAAATTTAATTTTGAGTTTTACAGATGACCTTAACATCTTAGACAATACCAGAGATAATTCAGAGAAAGCAGCTAAAGCTCTAAAAAAACGCGAAAAAAAATAGGACTAAAAATAAATGTAGACAAGATAAAGATCATGGAACTATTAGACACGGAAACAGACACTGGTGACTGGACCTAAGAGAAAGTCAACGAGTTCCAATATCATGGGGTATGCTTAAATACAAAAAATGACTGGTCACGAGAAATTGGAGTGAGGATATTAAAAGCAGACGGGGCGTCATTTGCACAATTAAAGTTTTTCAAATCAAAAGTATTATCGAAGAAAATTAAAATTAGCCTATAAATGACGATAGTGAGAGCTATTTTGTCATATAAAAGCAAAGCGTGGATTTCTAATATTGTAGCAGAACGAAGACTTGCCAATTTTGAAAACAAGTCATGGTGAATGATAAGTGGACCCAAATTAGTACACTTACACTGATATGTGGGGGAGAAAATTCAACAATAAGCTAAGAGAAGAAACAGGTTTGACTTCAATTAAATGCTATATAAGAGGTCAGAGAATCCATTGGTTTGGCCACATTATGCGTGGAAGTGATGAAAACATAATCAATTCAGTAATGTCCTGGAAACCGACAGGGAAGAGGCCACGAGAACGACCAAATAAAAGATGGATAGATGTGGTCGAAGAGAATTTAAAAAAAATAGGAGTAAGTTATTAGAGAAATATAATTCATGATCAAGAGAAGTGACGTGAAATTGTGATGGTGGCAAAAACTCTTGTAAAGTATATTAAGCCAGAATAAAAAGATTAGTCTATTCAACTAGACTAGAGTACATAGGGCAGTGAACGAAAACACGTCCTTTTTGCGCATGCATTCCGCTCCCGATTATCAGCTCCACGTCATCCACATTTCACTTACCTGCCTATTAATTAGCCCCACCGGCCACCACTGCTACCGCCACCATCTCACCGCCGCCGATACATATGGTATACAACATACGTAGCGACCAAAATATTGATGCCATTTTATTTTAATGGCCTTTTCACATACACGTATTTTATAAAAAGAAACCAGTGTCGGTCTGGCTCATGATTGGGACCCTGGGAAAGTATTTTCAATGGGCCCCTAAAAAACAAAATATAGAAGTCAAATTCAATAACTATCAACTAAAAAAACAATTTTCTCGCTTCATTCGTACTCTCCTAGAATGTTAATAATATTAATTCGATTTAATACACGAATTACATTGTTTTACATTTATCTTTTCATTCTATAGTGAAACCGCATGTATGTATTATGCATGTTGTGTTGACTTACTAAGTTAGGTTAAAATTCTGAACGAGATGTATATCACATCAATTCTCAAATACACCATATTATAAATCAATTTAATTTAGTTTCCAATGTACATATATCATGATAAGGTAGTTTTTTGAATCAAATCGCAACAATATGTTAATTATTCGGTAAAATCTATTTATTTTTTTCAACTTTATTAAATGTATAAAATAAATTTTACAAAAAATACACGATATAAAATTGTTATAAAAATTATCATAACTTTATAAGAATTTTAATATAAAATTTAATTTTGACGAAAATCGTTTAAGTAAAACATGATGTGGAACTAATCTATAATTTCTAGTCCACACAAATTGTTTCAATAAATATTTATTTTACGATATATAATATGACATATATATATTGTTAAAAAAATAATACTATTAACCGAGCTTGGCTCAGAATCGTTTTTTGTTGTCAATTTATAATCGTTGCGTACAAATATACATTCGATTCCCCTCTATATCCTACCTTCCTAACTTCTCATCTACAACAGTGGCCCACCTATCGTACGAAGTATGTCCGTCTTTTTTTTTACACAAATATAATTAAAATTAATTAATTTAATATCTGCTATTGACGTGATCCCATGGGGCCCCTATTTTAAGAATAAATCTCAGGGTCTCCGGCGATTGTCAGGTATCCGGGTGGTCAGGCCGATACTGGAAAAAACGCTCAGTTTTAATTTGAATAAATGCTACAATTTACATTTTATGTAACATAATTTTGCTGTTTCCAATTTGCTTGATTGAAACAGTATATACAGTACATGCGTGTATATTACGATAATTTATCTGGCGGTAGATAATTAGTAATTTGTTTTGCTGTATACACAGCGGTAGTGGCAAAAAATACGGCACACGGCGTACAGGATTGTCGACGGTGGCGTACGATCTGTAACATTTATTTTCGATAAATTAATTAGGCGGTCCGGCAAGGTACAGCGCTCAACCGCGTTTGCATAAAACTGATGAATTATGGAATAAGTGAAACCAGAATTGACACCGATAAGCATATACACGAACAACTTGGGGAAACTGAAAAATCGATCAGCCATGTTTTTGAAAGTCAAACAGTATGACCAACTAACACAAAAATCACGTAAACAGATAATTTTTTTTTATCGCCAGAATTATTGACAGAATATTATAAAAATAGGTATATTTATTTACGGAATAAATAAAATAACAATTAAATCATTAACATATACATCGACATGCGTACAAACAAAAAAAAATCAAATGGTGCATATGATATACGTACGTACGTAGCGACCAAAATATCATGGTAATAAGTACAAATGTGTTATTAAGTATACGGTTGGTAGCGAACAAAATCAATAACCATCTGTGAGTTGTATTATATGAGTATGATATATTTTTTTTAGGTCAGATGTTTTTGGGTATGAATTTTAAAGATTATTTGTCTATATTTTTGGATCCTGTTTTTCAGCTGATGATATTTTGTCGAATGGCTCTCTGTCGTTATCGTATATTTGTGTAATATAATATAACAATTGGCTTTAAAAGAAGACACCGTTTCAACTTTCAAGTCTTTTGACACTTTAAAAATTTGGATCGTACTGGATTTGTATTAATAAGGTACGTAAATATTTTTTAATTTAGAGGCAATTCAAATTCAATTGGTGCTTATAATATAACTGTGTACAATAATAATCAAGTAACCTAGTCAAAATGACGTACAGCGAATAACAAAACGAGACATTATATTAATATTTTTTAATTATCATGGAAATTATTATTATTTAATTATTTAAAATACTTCAATTTTATTTAGCGATTAATAATTGATAAAATAGCGACTTTCACTTTAGATTTTCAAATTTATCATCTGCTTATTAACTTAAATAGACAACTTATTGGAATGAGGGGAGGTAGAATTATAATGATTAGGACTGTAACACCTGCAAAATAATTCTGGACATGCTTATGTACACAATCCCGTACTAGAATTTAGTCTGTATTCACAACTTTTTATGCCAATAAATAGCTACTATAATTATATATTAGTAGTTGTATATAAAGCATTTGCGGCACGACAAGCATTTTACGTTTATGGTATACAATTATAAGTATTATATAATCGTAGCATATCATATTATGATCGGTGGGAACTGTCCATCATTTTTCGCTTCGCAGACAATATTTATGTGTAATTTCATTCCGACGAATTAATACGTTTGAATAATTATTCATATTAATAATACTTAACAAATTAGCGACAAAGAAAACAAAAGTGTTCATAAATAATATATTTTTTTTTTATTATTAGTTTTGTTTAGATATTAAGTCGTAATCGTCATTGTACAAACAGTAACAATTTGTGTTTATACTAATACAAAATTTCAACATCAAAGACAAACTCCAAAGTGAACTTCAAATCAAATTATTAGGTTACCAGGAATTTTTGAAGGAGAAATGGATATTGAAATTTTCCAGTCAAAATTTACTAACTTTTTATTGGCAAATTCAATCCAAAATAATGTTCAAAAACGAGCCATATTATTATTGTCAATTAGCGAAGAAATATATTTGATTAAATACTATAAATAATAATTAAAGTGCGTTTTAGTTTATGTGTTCCTAGTATACTGGAAGATGTTGAATATGCTAGTCTTATAAATAATTTAAACAAATATATTTAAACTATTAATTCAATAGTATCAGTAAATTAAACAAACGAAAACCATACCTCTATCAGAACACTCGAAATACTGAGTTTCTCGGTGAAGGAAATTAGCAAGTCTTGAAAATAATCATCTGTTCATTACCCTAATATAAAAATAATTGGTAGGGGGGGAGGGGTTAGAAATATAATGATTTAGACTGCAACACTTGCAAAAGAGTTCTGGACACGCCTATGTACACAAAAACGTATTAGATTCCAGTATGTATAAACAACATATATCTGTTTTTATGCCAATAAGTAGCTACTATAATATGCCATTTTCATTGGACAGTGCCAATCATCTTATATTTTTTCAATTGTGCAATTTATCGAGTCATAAACTGTGTTTTTACTAGCGGAGGTCAAAGTACACAGGTCTATTGTAATTGTTCTTTGGATTGGCTCTCACCATTGGAACGTATTTTTAGACATAGGTTCAACATGGAAAGTAATGAACAAATATCATATACAAGAAACACTGATAAAGTATTTGAAGTTTTCCAATCTTTGAGAAAGTATGTTGTATATTATTAAATTTGCTAGAGACATTAATATTAGTAATAAATCTTTGTTTTTAGCGATGACTTTTTGTGTGATGTAATACTAAAAGCTGATAATGGATATACAGTCAATGCACATAAGGTCGTTTTAGCAGCTGCATGCCCATATTTCCTTGCAATGTTCTCTCATTTTAAGGAACGGGAAAAAAAACATATAATTATAAAGGAGTTAGATCCAACAGCCTTAAAAATTTTAATAAATTATATGTACACCGGCCAAATTTTGGTCACTGAAGAAAATGTCCAAGTATAAATTACATTTATTATATTTATTGGCTTTACTTGTATCCACTGTTAATATTTTTAATATTTTAAGATTTTGTTAGCTGGTTCGACCCTTTTACAATTACACAGTATACAAGAAGTATGTTGTGACCTTCTAAAACGTATACTGCATCCAACAAACTGTTCAGATATCTGGACATTGGCTGATTTATACAGCTGTCAGGAATTCCTGCCAATCTGTGAATCATACATCAAACAACACTTTTCGTATGATATATGACAGCTGTTCAAATTTCTTAGAAATATTTTATTAATTTAATTTTTTTTCACAGAGAGGTGGTTAAAAGTGATGAATTCCTATCTTTATCGTTTGATCAATTTTTCAAGCTAATTTCCAGTGATGAACTGACCATATTGTCTGAAGAAATAGTAAGGGGATTAAAAACATTAATTATATTTAGATAAATCAAACAAATCGAGTTTATATTTTATGTGATGCAATCAAATTGTATTTTATTTATTTCAATCCTGATTTTTGATAGGTATTGAAATGCGTTGTTAAATGGGTGAATAATTTACCAAATTCTAGAAAAGATGTCTTACCAAAATTAATAGCGCAAATACGCTTCTCATTAGTGCCAAAAGAATGTTTATTGGAAGCGCTGGAAGAACCGATTATCAAAAACAGTCCCGAGTGTATGTTTTTCTTCCAAACTATATCTAATGTGATTAAATATTTTTTATTATATTAAATACGTATTTCAGGTCAAGGTTTGATAAATGAAGCATTGCATATCTGTTCTAAAGATAGTCAACTCGTTTTAAAAGATATTCATGGTAAACGTAGACGAGTTTTACATATGGTAAGATTTTGTTAGTAGTTTTTTAATTATTAAACTAAGTTTGAGTATTCCTTCTTAACGGGTTATATTATTGTTTTAGGAAAGAAAGATACGTGAACCAATTGTATGGGATTTTCCTACAAATAGCCCATTATTTCTGCGTCTTTTAAANTATCGTTTGATCAATTTTTCAAGCTAATTTCCAGTGATGAACTGACCATATTTTCTGAAGAAATAGTAAGGGGATTAAAAACATTAATCATATTTAGATAAATCAAACAAATCGAGTTTATATTTTATGTGATGTAATCAAATTGTATTTTATTTATTTCAATCCTGATTTTTGATAGGTATTGAAATGTGTTGTTAAATGGGTAAATCATTTACCAAGTTCTAGAAAAGATGTCTTACCAAAATTAATAGCGCAAATACGCTTCTTATTAATGTCAAAAGAATGTTTATTTGAAGCATTAGATGAACCGATTATCAAAAATAGTCCTGATTGTGTGTTTTTCTCCCAAACTATATCTTATCTATATCTACCTGTTGTTAAATATTTTTTATTATATTGAATATGTATTTCAGGTCAAGGTTTAATTTATGAAGCATTGTATATTTATTATTTTAAGTTAAAAGGATCTCTAAGCATTTTAAAAACAATCAGTAGTAAACGCAGGCGATTTGGCTTACGAAAAGTAAGTTTTACTTATGGCCTTTTTAATTATTACAATTATTAGTTAGATTCTACTACTAAACTGGATATATTATTGTTTTAGGGAAATAGAAAAATAGATACAGTTGCATGGATTTTCCCAACAAATAGTCTTTTGCAGCCCTGCTCAGAAATGAGGAAGCCTCGTTTTGGATCAGGTCTTGCAGTATTTGAAGATAGTCTAGTATTGGCTGTTGGTGGTTATGATTATTTACCAATTCCATGTATTAACCAATACCATTCACCATTGCATACATTAAATATTTTACCTTTTACTTTACTTTCTGGACCACATTGGGTACAATCAACACCAATGATATCTGGGCGTGCATTTTTAGGAGTTGCTGTATTAGATAAATGTTTTTATGCTGTAAGTTAAAATGATATATTTACTTTTAGAATTAAATTAAATTTATGACATTACTTTAAGTTTAATACTAATATTTAATAAAAGGCACTGTATGTGGATGGGATATATGATGTATGTTGCATATAAAAGATCATGTATACTCCATAAGAACCTCGTGATTACACATAGTGACAATACACAGTGTATGCAATATACAACTGCTCTCTTTCATAATAAAATTAAAATTATTAAGATTAAGATTTTTTTTTAAGGTACAATATTATAATAGTTAAGCTCTACTGACTACACTATAGTAAACATAATAGTAATAAAACTATAATATTGCTAATGATAGTGTACCTATAACTTACTATCATAACCAGGTTTTATACAAAGAATAATATAAATACAATACATTAAATTATTATTAACCAATACAATTAAATGTTCTATCAATCTGATTTTCAAACTACCCTGCTCGATCTTGTTTTAACAAATTCTTTGCAACGTTCCCCTTGTTGATTTTACTACAATTCAGCTACATTTACCTTCCCCAATCTCATTTAATAAATCTAATTCATAATACTTCTTATCCTAATTAGTTAAATTCGTTAGATGACGGTTTCAAATGCTAAATATTTCTTCTAATTATATTCCCACTACCAATTTTCACTCAGTAAGACCTTTCTTNCGGCATTCATTTATCTTTTGTAAATACCACTATACTTTGTCCATATAAAGTAATCCCTTTTTTTTTAATTCCTCTTGTCATACCACTCTACGTATTTGTTTTGAGGTTTCTTTAAACTAGAATGTTTATCTTTCTGAAGTGTTGGTTTAAATTTTCTTTTTATACCGGTAATTTTGGTTTTAATATTCAAACTTGCTCATTTATAATTCAGCTGGAGACATTAAGCTCCACTATAAGAGTACAATGGTATTTTATAAAGGCTGCTTTTAAGTCACTTTTTCCACTATTAAAGTTTTTAATAATTATTTTGCTATATGAATTGCCTTTTCAGCTGCCTGATTAATTTATGGATACTGAGGACGTGAAATTAACACCACAAAATTCCAGTCCTTTGAAAAATGTATGAATTCCACAGAATTAAATAGCATATTATCTACAATGAATTTTTTTTAGGTTTACCATGACAACTAAATATTAAAAATTTTAATACATTAGTAATGACTCTGACAAAGTTTTTCTAATAGCCTCAAATCATTTTCACCAGTAGTCTATAAAAACTAAATAGTTAATTAAATTGTAAGTCATGATTTTCACTGCTATGTTTTCAAATGATATCTCTGAAGTTCATAAGGTATTAATGTATTTTTTTGGTTAGCACTTTTGTGAACAGTTTACAAGTTCTGCATTTTAATATATATTGCTCAATCTTATCAAACTTACCTAGCAAAAAAAATATACCAAGTGATCTACTGAAGTGGATACACTCATTATCTCGGAAAATATTAACTATTTTAGGAATTTATTTTTTAGAACATTTTTAAACACACAGCTCTACAATTTTATATTTATATTATTTTTTGTCACCCTTATTTTTAGGGGTAAAACCACTACTTACTTATGATTTTCAAATGACAACCTGTTTGAAAGTAGGTAGTTGTTTTACTTCCAAAAATAAGGGTGAAAAAAATACCACAAATATAAAATTATAGAACAGGTTTTTTCTTAAATATTCTAGAAAACTAATTCCAAATAAAGTTAATATTTTCCGAGATAATGAGTATACCTACTTAAATGGATCAATTAGTATATATTTTTGAATTTCATTTTTGTTTTAGTGGTTCCTAAGTCACCATCGTGCAGCATTTTTTACATTAAGGGGTCTCATCTAATAAGGGATCATAATTCTATACTAGTGATACAAAACATTTTTATTCGCCATTATTTCATTTCTCATGTTAACATATAATTTTACACTGATGTCTAAACAATCCCCCACTTAGTCACTTATTATGGCAATATTATAGAATTTTACGCAGTACCATAACTTCTTTGGACTCTTTTTGTAAATTGTTTATATTTTATATTATTACTTGGGTTTTAATGATTTATGCAGTGAATCGAATCAGTATCAAATTCATTTTTCCCTTGTTAATATATAAATCTTTGATAGTAAGTTTACTATATGTATATTTTTCCCTGGTAGGAACTTTATAGCTAAGTCATACTAAGTTTGAGTTTAAATTTATTATAAGCAAATATTACACTTAAGAATTATTTTTCAATTTAACCATACCGAATCTCTGTATTGGTTCAACTCCTAGACTTACGTGCAATTGGTTTCCCATTGCATTAAATAACATCCCATTCTGTTATTTGATGAATCTTTTTGGATAACAATATCTTTCCCTAGATAAAATGTACCAAACTTGGTGGATTTGCAATTAATTTTTTTGAATTTGTGAATGACTCCTCATGCCTCATATTTTAATCTTACACCACACAATATCTTTTTGTGCCAATTTACTTAGAAGACTAATTACATATTAGGAATAAATTCACTTAAATATTTACATATACCTATTTGATACATGAAATTTTATTCTACAGATTGGTATTTTCATTTTTATAATAGTCTTTACTTGATCTACTTGATCAAGTTTCATACCATTCTCATCAATAATACGACCCATAAAAGTTGTCTGTTAGACAGTATAGTAATTTAATTATTTTGTTAAACTTAATGTTCATTTTCTTAACTTTCATTAAAATTTAATTTATTCAAGCATAATCCTCTTCTAAAGTTTCAGTAGCTATGTAGTAATCCAAAATATTGTATTAAATTTTCCTTATCTAATTTCTCAAAATACTCCTCGAGTCCTGTTAATAAATGCCTCTAGAGCACTTGATATGCCAAAAAAATCTCGTGAATTTTAAATAACACACAGGAGTACCAAGCACAACATTATATTCCCATCTGCTTTGTAAACTATGACACTATTGCTCGATCAGGAATTTAGTTCTTAAACAGCCTCCATGATCCCACTTTGCAGAAGACTTTCTAACTCACTTTTTAATTGTTTCAATACTGTCTGAGGAACTCTCCTAGGTGGTTTAATAACACCAACCGTACTCTCATTTATTTTAATTTTATATTTGCTCGAAAACATTTCCATACCCTTACATTTTTCTTTATGATTGGCTATAGAAGATTTCCTTTTACTATCAACCACATTATTTGTTAATATATGAAAAATTATTGTTGTCTAGTGTCGTGAACTCAGGCATGAATCCAGGGAGGGGGGCTAATCGAAATGTATCGTCCCTCATGAATATATTATTTATATGATAATCTATTTTCACATTTTTTACTTCTTATTCAGAAAAATACAAAATTTTATTTGACAGTATCTACCTACCTACAGTTAATAATGTTCATTTATCAAGAAAACCTCAACATATACACTATCTTGTTTAAAACAAAACCTATATTTAAACAACTAAAATATGAAAAAGATTAGATTAGTACTTGTATAATAAAAAAAATAATAGTAATTACTTATATATAGTAAGAAAACATTACTCCTCCGCGCATCTAATTTAACAAGTTCCGCGGTTTCGTGACCAAATTTCTCCCACTCTACTACCTACTTGCTGTAGAAATTAGCGAGAATAGACGAGTTTTGGTCGCCACCCAGTAACATTCTCTCGCCGGTAGAACTATAGGTATATTTAGAATTATACATTTCTTACAAAAATGTATAAATTAAAAATTGATGCTTTTTAATCCTGGGTACACGTTATACAATATGACACAATTTTCAAATTCATTATTTCTCCTTTAAGAATAGTCATAAATACACTACTGATATAATGCAAAAAATAATAATTTAAATAATTGAAAAACACTTTTTTGCAAATGAAATCCTCTATATAAACAGTACACAAACACAAAATTATTTTTAGAAACTATCTGCCTCTCAGCGGTCGTTATCCGTTTATAATTAGTATCTATGATTTCCAGTATTCATTCCCCCATTTCATAATCAATAAGATAAGTTAACAAAATAAAGCTACGAAATTAATTCAAATCAATAAAATGCAATTTAAGACTACTGCAGCGACATTCATAGACCATTGAAATCATTTTTAAATTATTTTAATATTAGGGAGGCCTGCCCAACCATAGGAAATCAGAGTAGTATTAACGATTTTCAAAAAAATTATCTCCATTTTTTTTTTCAAATCTAACCAACTAGTAGGAAAAAGATGTATTTTCTAAAAAATTATATACTAGTATAATCATGATCTAAGGATGAGACAATAACATGTGTTGCATATAAAAGATGTGTATTCCATAAGAACCTCGTGATCACACACACAGTGATAACGCACAGTGTATACTATAAAACATAACAAATATTATGTATTATTTCTTAGGTTGGTGGATGTGGATTAAATGGTATAGGTTTGAACACAGCTGAAGTTTTTGACTGCCTTACCCATAAATGGAAAATGATTTCAAATATGTCTGTTAATAGATTTATGTTTGGTATTGGCAAAATCAACAACAATATTTATGTGGTATGTAAATATTATTTATCTAAAATAAATTTAATTTTTTTATTAAATTAGACATAATTAAATGTTATAGGTAGGAGGCCTAAGAGGTACTTATAAACAGAATGTATGTTTGAATTCTGTTGAATGTTATCATCCTGGTTATGATATATGGACCCAAGTTGCTTGTATGAGTAAACACCGTGAAAAAGCTGGTGTCGGAATCTTAGATGGTGTAATGTATGCAGTTGGTGGACGTGATGAATCAGAATTTCACAAAAGTGTCGAAGCTTATTGTCCTAGTACTGGAGTTTGGACTTTTATAGCTGATATGCATATTCGTCGAGCAAACCCTAGTAATTATTATTATGATTCTTAATACACATGCATTTTAATATAAAATGTATTCCTTTTTCATAAATATAGGTGTATTCTCATTAAATGGTTTACTGTTGGTTATGGGAGGTTATAATGATGAGACTTCTAATGAGGAATTTCTAGAAATTTACAATCCTAAAACTAACACATGGAAAATAAACAATGAACCCGCAGTAAATAATGCATATCGTCTCGTTGGAATTGCGTGTATTATTACTTAAGAACTTAATACTTCAGAATAAAATATTTAATTTTTATTAAGATATATTGATTAATGTTACGTTATATTATATTACTTAAAAAGTTAGTTATTTTTATTTATTTGTTTTTTTTTACCTTTTTATATGCTATAAGATGAGTAAAATTTAGTAATGCAGTATATATGCATTAGTAGACATAAGACATATATTTCTTAATATATCTGTGGTAATAGTATAACTATAGACCAATGGTTTTCAAACTTTTTGGGTCCACAGCTCTTCTGATTTTGAAATCCAAATTAGCGGCTCCTGTACGTATAATGATGATAACAACAATTAAAATAAATTAATTTACTGGAATACTCTGTTTTATTTACTATAGACATGACTCCCTTCATACTAAACCACGACTGCTATAGATAATGCATAGTATTGATTATTTGAGATTTTTTAACTTTTATTATTTAGGGTATTAAATTGTTTAAAATTTGTTTGTTATATGCTGATCATTTTTTTTTTTTTTTAGAGAGAATTTTTTATTAAACATTAAAGTGTTCTCTTATATAGCAAAAATTACTTACTCCTTTAAGCTGAGCTTCTGGTGGGGAAGGAATACATTACACTAAAAACTTATGACTAAACTAAACCAAAGTACATAACACAGATATATTAAACTATAAATATTTATCCAATTCATTAACTAGAACATTTACCCAATTCTCAATATTGGAATTATTCACAATTTTTTTTTTTTTGACACCAATTGGTAAATAATTAAAGGACCCAAGTAATTAATACATTTTTTACCAATACTTATATTTGTGTATAAAACATTAATATTAAATAATCTTTTTTCAATTACAATTGTAATCTGTTTGTAGAAGAAGAAACCCTGTCAATTGTAATTTTGTATAGTATAAGTAGTAACTTAATAAACAAATATTCACACTTTAAATCTTAGTTTAAAATTATTTTAAGCAATTTAATAATAATATTAATATTAATTTATTTATTAAAAAAATGAGATAATGTACAGAATATATTTGTGTAATATTAAAATTGTTTTTCAAAGTTTTCTTAAAAAATGTAAAAACCCAAAATAATAATGGGAAATTTTAAGAAATTTAGGTATAAGTAGTAAGTATTAAGTAGTTAAAAATATTACGGCCTTTTTTTTTCTTGAGGACAATTTTTCTAAAAGAAAACTTCACTGGAAAGTTTCTCTAGTGTTGTCGTTTTTCGATTTTCTAAGAGTTTTCTCAGCAAATTTGAAAAACTGGGAAAAACATAGGAAGACCGGAAAAACGTAAATAATCGATACAACATTAAACAAATATTATTAAAGAAAATATATAGAGTATAGATAGTTTAGCATTAGAATCATTTGTTTGACAAATGAAGTTCTTGGACATCTTAAGTCTCTTTTCCTTTCAATTTTCCTCTCTATTATTCTATAAACTAGTTCATTTTCATATCCCAATATGTGACCAATCATATTTCAATTGTCTTGCTCTGATGGTTATGAGTATTTATCTGTGTTCATGTATTTCACTGGGTATACTTTCATAGATACTGTGTTCAATCTAACTCACTTCCTTCTTTAACACCACATTTCAAAGCTTTCGAGAATTTGTTGTTCTGTTTTATTTAGTTTTAGTATCCAGGTCTCGCAGCCATATAATGCCACACTTCATATATATATATATATATATGTATATATCTTTATGAAACATTTCATCACTCCAATACTCATGCTATTGGAGCATAACAATGTATAACAATATATACATTTTAATTGAGCAAATATTCTAAGATATAATTTGTGTATAATGTATAAGTTGCATTTTATACCAAAATTATCTGGTGTGTGAATAGACCAAATAATGGACATTAATTTAATACTGATTGTCAAAGGTAGTAAGTAACACATTAGTTATCAGTAATTTTACAAGAGTATGAACAAATTTCTGTAATGCAAATTTTTGCAAGATTTGAATAGGATTATAACTAATAAAAACCATTAACACTTGACATGTCTACAATCCGAGATAAATTAATTTAGGACTATGGATGTACTATAATATTTTTATTGTGTTATTGTGATCATTTTTATACTTATTTTTGAAAATAAATACATTTTTAGTTAATATTTTATGATATACAATTATTTAACATTGAAAAAAATAACATATTCATATTAAAAACAAAAAAAGTTAAATTTACCAATTTCATTAGTGGTCAGTTGCGATTTGTACACCGAACAAGCATCACGTACGTTTCGCAGTTCACGAAATAGTGCTGTTTCAGTTATTCTTTTTCTTATATCAATGTTTATAATGTAAAAAATGGCCTCAGACGAATAGTAAATTTTTAAAACAAAACATATTTTAAGTGGATCACACGTAAATTGATCGAATTACAATGTATGGAAATATAATCGACCATGTAAATCTGCCATAAAATATTGTAGTTAATGCTAATATTTGGACACAAATTTAAAATGAAAATTCAGTCTTGAAACAAATGGTAGCAAACAATTGCAATCGAGCAATGAAAAACTACATCTTCAGATTTCTGAAATAACCACTGGGATCTCTAAAGACATTTTGAGCCCCCCTAAAAAAGCAATACAAGTGTTGAAAGAAATTGCGAGAACTTCTATAAAAATCCATAAACCACAGTCAATAACAGTATGTGGTGTAAATGATTTTAAAAAACTAATGGGCAGAAGAAGAAACTGAGGGACACGAGCAACAATTAAAAACCTTGTCAAAAAGTGAAATTAAGATACTAACGGGCGACGAACAATAAAAAGTATTACAAGAATAAAAAGTTGAGTACCACAGATATCAACGCCATAAGCGTATACTATCCGTCAATGATAAGGGACCAAGGGACCATTTGACATGGTTAGAAATAATATAACAAAATAGATACTCACTAAACTCGAAGTGGATGTTCACAATCAGTTTTATTTTGTGGACATTTTACCAAGTTAAACTTATAAGAAAATAAATTAAACTGTTTTATAAGTAGAAAGGAAAGACTGCTTAAACTTATTGATGTTGCAGTGTTTACTGCCGCTCTTGGAAACATTTTAACTTCGGCGTCGGTCGACCTCATCAAGCCGCTCCGTTGATGATAGACGCAAGCATTCGGTTTCTCGCGGTTGCAACGACGGTGGTGACCAAGATCTTCCGAAACTGCTACGCATGCGCGTTGTTAAACGCGTTCTGTTAGCGCGTGTTGGAGTGGAGATCAATGATCGTTGTGGGACCAACCGGTTACAGCGACGCGCGTTTTAGTGGGGATCGATGATCATCGTGGGACTAACTGGTTTCAGCGGCGCGCTTTATAGTGGGGATCGATGATCGTCATGGGACTAACCGGTTTCAGTGGCGAGGGGTGGTTTTAGTGGTGATCGCGAGGGCGGAATACGATTCCGCATGTTTTTTTTTTTATGAACATGATTCCGCACACTCTATTGTTCATCGAAATACAATAAGAAATATGTGCAACGTCGTCAAGTTTATTATAAATGAGGTGGTTCTACGTTTATTATGAAAAAATAATATAAAATAAAAATAATTCTCTCATATAGTAGGCCGTCATTACAAAAAATAAATACAATGTAAAATAATGTAAAATTTAATATAATTTGTCATAAAGCCAATAGTAGTTAGATATTTAATACTATTTGTATGTATTTTATATTTATTAAAATGTTGTATAACGTTTTGTATACGTTGCCCTTCTCAGATTCTATTATCTCTAATTGATTCTCCATGCCTACCTATTAACTTATACATTTTAACACCGTAAAAATATAAAGTATAGAATAGTGCTCGAAATTAATACAATTTATTATTGAACTGTATCCACGAGCGGCGTTTTAACAGTTTTGACTGAACTGACTATACTGGTATATTTACCCATAGATATTAAAGATATAGACATAGATATTGTTTAATGTCTATGTATTTACCAACAGTTATTGTGGGTGGTCATTTATCAAAATAATCTCGTCATTATGCGATTATCATTATAACGTTAGATACCCTATCATAACAATTATTAATCAAATCATATAGACTTGTGTAATTAGACCACCAGTCATGACTTCATCAACATAAAAATCATTTAATATGAAGATTTGTATTTTTAAAGATTTGTATGATGAGAGTACCATAAATAATTAAAACATAATTTTGCCTTAGCAACTAATTTTTTAAGGTCCTTAGGTATAGTTTACATGAATTTTGGATACTGATATATTAAATGATAGGCTTTGAGAACACACTGTGCATGGTTTCTTTTCCTTTTCTGTTGATGAGTCATCTGTAAGCGCAGTATGTGTAGTTGTCCGAGTCATTTACCTTTAAAAGAACCATTAAATTTTAGCAGTACAATATCAAGTACGTGTATGTGATTTTCAATAACATGTATAGATTTTGCCACAATGTAACTCAGTTGAATTACAACCTTCTATTTCTCAGATTTACCTTATGTTATTTAGTAATCTATTAGATACTGTATACACTAGAATTGCATCCTAATATTCAACTGAAAGTTCTAGTACTTTAAGAGCAGACAAGTGCTTTTTTAGTAATGTCCAAAAGATTCCTTAAAGCACTCACTGATTCACCATTAATAACTGGTTGCGATAATAAGTAGTACAAATGTTTTTATACTATGAGTCATTTATTATCATAATGGTTAATGAGAAGCGACCGTGCTTCCTTATATAAGCCTATAATACCTAACCTTAGTTGACAACAGTTGATAATCTAGTTGCTATGACATCCACTGCTTGACCTTGTAGGCTGGTTTCTTGTAATACATTCTATGCACATCATTAGCAACAAGCAATGATTATAGTAATAATCATTATCCAACAGCAATGACTGAAATGTTTAGTGATCTTAAAACAATAAATAAAAAAAAGTTTTTCACTAGCACTAGGTCATTTGGCCTGACTTGATTTATATAAGTGTACAATATTTTAAGGAATGAATTTGGTTCAAGTTTAACCCATACAACAACATTGAGATCTTAGTATCATGAGATAAAAGTAGAAAAAGGTTTTACTAATGAATCATTCAAATCTCTTTAATTGAAGTTTGAGGATTACAAATGTAAAGGCAAAAAAGCTGTTTTGCTCACTTTTGCTAGACAAAATGCATATAAAGAAACAGATCAAATGGGATGGAAGATATTTTCATGAATTTAGTAATGTTGGTAAAGATTTAACAGAATAGAATCTCAAGTTAAAGGCGACAACACAAGTTTAGGTATTGTTAGTGTTTGCATTAGACTCATATTGAAAAGTTCATGTGGCTTATTTTTTCAATAAAGGGCTCAATATTTAAGATAAAGTAAGCTTAGTAGTGAAAACTTTAAAGAGACTTTTTGAAATTGGTAATAATAAAATCATTATTATTATTAGTCATACATTGTATAAATGTTTTATTTTTCATAGATATTTAAGTACCACCTTTAACTTTTGATGGACCAACAACCCATTTCACTTCATTTTATAAACATTTTGAAATCAAATATCCACATACATAGCTTAACACATTACTAGAAAGTAAATTTAGATCTCTATAATCTACTGTCTACAGATAATATACAAAATTTCAATGGTGTTGTTTCAGGAGTCACCTATTTTAGTTAGAAATCAAAACCCTGATCAGTTTTGAGAACTCTTATTTTTAAAGGAGTACTTTATTAACAAATTATAACAACAAACATTATATTTTGTAAAGTAAAACCCATATAAATATTGTGAACAAAAAAAAAAAAATGAGCAATTGGTTTTTTCCAAGGAAATTTAAGTCCACGAATCATAAAACAAAGTTCATATTTAACAGATTAATAAGTTTTTTGACTAAAAGATTTAAAGTTTTGATAAAACCTACTTTAAATCTTTAGTAAGTTGTAGTATAAATTACTTTTTATTGCCATTTCATTAATACATCACACACAGTTTTTAGATTCTTCGTTAAGGTTATTCACTTTAAATGTTATATGTACAAATAAAATATCATTAAGACCAGAAACAATTTCATACTTATACTTTTCAGTAATTCTATCCAAGGATCTGATAGTAGGCAACTAAAAAATAGTTTTGTAAAAATGGATGTGCTTGAGGAAAGAAAAAAGAAATAAATATAAAACGCTAATTGCTTTATTTCATTGCTATACCGGTAATCATGTGGATTTGTTTTAGAGTTACAACATTTTTTACTATCATATGTAAGTTAGGTGGAAGATGTACAACATATATCATTTAAAACGATGTAATGAATTAATGGACTCAGCTACTTCTATAGATAATATTTCAACCTGTTTTTCTAATTTAGCACATTTAGTTTTTAATAGTGATACTTCAGTCTTCAGCTTCTTTTTCCTGGGAGTATTTACAGATAACTTTTAAGATTTCTGAGAAGAGCTAAAAATTGCTCTGTAAGTTGATTCATTAGTTGTTGCTGTGAATGAGTTTTTGTTGATGATTGATTTTGAAGTTGCTTGAATAACGTGGCTATCCACTATAAAGGCAAATTAAAATTATAAAAATGTCTAGATACATTATATAATGAGTGAAGAATTTAAATAATTAAGTACTAATAGTTTACTAATAATTTCTGAAAATTACCAGAAATTATGGGTGTGCATGGTTCTTTGTGGTTCTTCATAATTAAAAGTTAATTCATCAGGAGTCAAAAGAATTTCTGTCGATTTACAATTGAAGTCTGAAATAATAACATTTAAATGAAATTTAATAATTAACTCTAAAATGTGTGTAATTTTAAACTTGGATACTATTACATAGTACTTAACAAATAAAGTTGGCATCACTTGAAGCAGTAGATGGGATTAGAGTACATTTTAATTCAAAATAAACACTTCAAATTCTACAATTTCTATAAATTGATTCTATCAAAGTATTTAGGTGGTCATGTCTTTCACATTCCTTAAGCCATTCAATACACCTACAACAAACCAATAAATTTAACATTATTAAATCAATATTAGTTAGTAAATTATTAAAATCAAATTAATATAACTATTAAAACAGTTACCAATCTTACATACAAGAAAAACGATGATACATATTATATTGTTTATCATTCTTCATGCAATTTTTGGATTTTGCAGCACATCTCACGCCTACCATTGTAAAGTATAAATACTTTAACAGTAAGTATGTCATTATTTATAAATAATATTAATCACAATATAAATAAGCAATAAAGAAATATTTATCAATGTTCTTATTATCATTCAATGTGTTTCTTATGTTGCTAATAAAAACTAGAACTCAAAAATAATGGCAGCGTGATATTGTTTACCTCTAGAAAGTGCCTATTCTAATTTCATTTATTTATTTCATTCATTCCATGGTTGAATATATTATAGATTCATTGTTTATATATTTTTATGAAGATATTTAAAGAGAAATGTTATGGCATGGCATAAAGCTATGTGATAAAATACAATGCTACCATCCACGTATATAAGGTGATAACATAATATGCCTATTTGAGTACAATAATTTTACAATATAAACATAAAAGTGTAAATATTCTCATATATACGGTTGGTAGCGAACAAAATCAATAAACATCAGTTGGTTGTATTGTATGAGTATATGTATTATTTTTTTTAGGTCAGATGTTTTTAAGTATTAATTTTAAAGATTCTTTGTCTAAATTTTTAGATCCTGTTTTTCTGCTGATGATATTTTGTCGAATGGCTCTCTGTCGTTATCGTATATTTGTGTAATGTAATATAACAATTGGCTTTAAAAGAAGACACCGTTTCAACTTTCAAGTCTTTTGACACTTTTGGATCGTACTGGATTTTTATTAATAAGGTACGTAAATATTTTTTAATTTAGAGGCAATTCAAATTCAATTGGTGCTTATAATATCACTATGTTCAGTAATAATCAAGTAACCTAGTCAAAATGACGAACAGCAAATAACAAAACGAGACATTATATTTATATCTTTTAATTATCATGGAAATTATTATTATTTAATTATTTAAAATACTTAGTCAGTTCTTTGAGCGGTTAATAGTTGATAAAGTAGCGATTGTCACTTCAGAAAAAAAAACACGTCCTGGAAAATGAGAATAGGCTATGGCGCACAATTAAAAATAAATAGGGATAGCATATTGAATGGAAAATAATACTCACCCACCAAATTGCTTTCAAAAGCAGACCCAAGGTGCCTTTGCCCCCACACCCTCTTAACCCTTAACTAGAATTTTCTAATCTTGTTCATAATTATAACTAGAGGCCAGAATTATATTCTTATACATACAGAGTGATAAATCTATTATAAAACACTCATTATCTCGAAAAGTATTAACTTTTTTCAAAATTTGTTTAAAACAAAATTCTAGTAACAAGCTGTTTTAAAATTTAATTTGTATACATTATTTTTTGTCACCCTAATTAACGACTACCTACTTTTGATTTTCAAATGGCTACCTATATTAAAAATTCAATAAATAGACGAAGAAGTAGTTAAAATAAATTTGGTGTTTTAATTTGTAATTTCTGTCCATCCGTTGACGAGATGCTCCACTTTTAAAATTGGGTTGAGAAAGAGTAGTGATACATTATTAACACGCCGCACGCTGTGGCGCTACATAAACTATGCACCACTACTCTCCCACAACTCAAACTTAAAAGTGGAATATCTCTTCAACGGATTGACAGAAATTACAAATTTAAACACCAAAATTTTGACAAAAAATAGTGTAAATGTTAAATTTTTGACCAGTTTGTTTCTAAAGTTCTCTACAAAACAAATTTCGAAAAATTAATACTTTCCGAGATAAAGAGTGTCTTATGATAGATTAATTACCCTCAGATGGGAGTTCTCATTCTTTACAAATCATGAAACGTTTAAATCAATGACCAAAGTTTTTTTTTACATATTTAAGAATATTTCAAGATGAAAGAATGCATTGTGGGAAATATAATATATTATTATATATTACGAGTATATAATAATATAGATGTTAGTTTGTAGTCTATTAATTCGTAATAATAATTTTTCACTGGCTATGATAACTGATTTGCAGCATACTCCTATGACTTCAGTTAACAACGTTATTTTAGAATTTATAAAAACATTTTAACTAACCGTCCTACAAACATGACACCAGATGACATGGAATAAAATATAGCTGTCAACTATTTTCAAAAATTATCTTAATTAAAAAAGTCATTAACCTAATTAAATTAAATAAATAAAGTTAAGTTAAAGTTTTCTCTAAGCTGTATTATGTTTTATTATATACCTATTTATATCAAATTTTTTTAGATTCTGAGTGTAGCGAAGAATATATTGGTTTTACTATAGTTTCACGAGAGAACGGACCGCTTGTGTGCATGTTTATCCCTCCACATAACTTGATTTTAGCGAAGGCAGCCGATTGTCATTTCTTCCGTCGTCGGTTTTTGGCTATACACCGCTAGGATATTTTGTAGAAATTCAATTGTTATTATTATCAGACATCGCACATCGCACGTTTTTTTACCTTTGTTGTTTTATAACCTGTTGATGATTTTTCAAATTGTAAACTATCGTATATACAAGCACCTTCTATAATAATCCAGACTTTGTTTTTTTTTNATATATTTAATAAATAATAAATAATTAAATTAAAACATTACTTTTTTTTTTTTTCGTTAAAATTACAATTTATCATTTTTGTCATATTTACATTTTATTTTATTTTTGATAAAATTACAAATTTATAATACTAATTATTCGTCATATTTACATAATTTTTTTAAAATAATTAAAAAAAACGGAGAAAAAAGTAAAAATTACCAAACGGTACAAAAAAGTAAACGCTGTAAAAATGACGTGTGCGTACACCACGGCAATTTGCGATAAACAGTGGACTATCGACAGTTAACAGTGCATTATTTGAAACGCAGTGTACAACACCTGCACCACTTCTGCGGTCGCTGTTGCAGCGCTGTCGATAGATCCGGGAGGGGATAAATGGATAATGTTGCGGCGTGGGGATGCGCTGTGGTGATTCGGTTTGGTCGGAGAGCGGCCCATTCTCTCTATAAACCAGATATGATATTTATTTTTTTATACTATGTATAAAAATTTTAACACAAATCTTGCTCACGTATATACGCGCGGCATCATTTCTAAAAGGAAATGTTGTCCAGATGAGACTTTTAGGATGCCATTTTTTGATTTTCCAGGCGGTTTTCATAATATCTGGAAAAAACCAAGATAAAACTTAAGAAATACAGCAAATTAACGAAAAAAATGCTTTTATTATTTTTCAATTTTGTTATTTGTTGTAATTTAGTTAAAAATATTTATAGAGAATTGAAATTTGGACTTAAAACTTATATTAGCTTTTTTTTCTGTGTACAACTTTTCTACTATCAATTTAGCTCTTATTTAAAATTATGCTATTTATTCTGGGGAGGTAATTTTTCGATTTTTCCAGGAGTTTTCCTAATAAATGGGAAAAATCCGGAAAATAAATGGGGAAAATCGGTACAATATTAAAAAAATATTATTAAAGAAAATATGTAATGCCTATTTAATTATTTTACTATAATATGACATATATATTGTTGACTAAATATAAGGTTGCATTTAACTATTTTTGAACCTTCGACAAAAGGTCTTTTAAAATCACCCATATTATACTGAATTATGTAGGTGATTTCTATTACAGAATTAAATATTATGTAATTTTATTGCTACAAATTGTAACCAAAATATGATTTAATAAATTTTAAAAAAAACTAGTAATAAATGAATTATTTAGGCTAAATTACTATTATTTAAATGCTATTATAGTATTCATGTTCACGTTAGCCTTATGATTAGTGTCGACTAGAGCGCTACCTATAGTTCCTTTCAATCGCGAATACTTAAGATAGGAAATACAGATTCCAATCCACTAATTTTACGACCTTCAATACTGTTGAAGAAATTAATTATTTTACAATTATTATTTTTTTGTTTTTAATAATTTACAAAACATTGTATGTTGAGACCAATTAGTAGAGTTCAGAAATCTTTTTTTACCACAAACACATACGATGTTGCTATGTTAGACATTTTCGCGCACGGTTTATTGCCACATAAAAATAATAAAAGTAACAAAATAAAAATATAACCGATAAATATTGTTTTATTTGTTTGCATTATAATAAATCATAATGCTTGTTCCTACTGTACCGTATTTACACCATAAACTAGGATGACCACACGTCCCGTATTATACGGGATTGTCCCGTATTTCAACTTTGTGTCCCGTTGTCGGGCAGTAATACGGGACGCATTTTGTCCCGTTTTTCCAAGTCCGTCCAGTACTAATCCCGTTTTTTTTCCATACCGTTAATTTATAATTTTGAAATTATTTTACTATAAAATCGTTTTGTTTGCGATATTTTTGTACAACATTATTCGATATAGAATATTAAAATCGATTATTTTTTAGGGGTAGATATTTTTAGATTCTTATTTTGATTATAATTGTATAATAGAAAAATGGGGTTGCCATTTTGACGAGTTAAAAGTATTTCGTTGGGTTCAATTAATAAATTGCCCTACTTGGGAAAATGTTTAAAAATGTTTCCAATTTCTTTTAGAAAAAAAACCAAAATAATTCGAACTTAAAATTGGATGAAGATCATTTGTTTGATGAATTCAGTCATATTGAACAAGTTTTTCAATCACGAATAAATGAATGGCAAAAAAGTTCAGCTAAATTGGAAGTTAAGTGGTGTGAAATATTTGAATACACTAAAGCTCATAACATTGACACAACTAACATATCAGCAATTTTAGAATATGCTTTAGCAATGCCGGGTACAAATACTGCAGTAGAAAAGATTTTTTCCACCATTAATGTCTTATGGACGGACGAAAAAAATCGTTTTTTAGTTGAAACTATAAAATCAATTATCATAGTGAAAACACATTTTTCAAACTATTCTTGCAATGAATTTTATAATATTTTATTAAAAGAAAATAAATTACTTTATACAATTAGTTCAGCACAAAAGTATACAAAAATAGCAGAAGACCAACCATCGTCATCAAAATAAATATTNAAATGGGGTTGCCATTTTGACGAGTTAAAAGTATTTCGTTAGGTTCAATTAATAAATTGCCCTACTTGGGAAAATGTTCAAAAATGTTTCCGATTTCTTATAGAAAAAAACCAAAATAATTCGAACTTAAAACTGGATGAAGATCATTTATCTGATTTAATTCAGTCATGTTGAACAAGTTTTTCAATCACGAATAAATGAATGGTAAAAAAGTTCAGTTAAATTGGAAGTTAAGTGGTGTGAAATATTTGAGTACACTAAAGCTCATAACATTGACACAACTAACATATCAGCAATTTTAGAATATGCTTTAGCAATGCCGGGTACAAATGCTGCAATAGAAAGGATTTTTTCTACCATTAATGTCTTATGGACGGACGAAAAAAATCGTTTTTTAGTTGAAACTATAAAATCAATTATCATAGTGAAAACACATTTTTCAAACTATTCTTGCAATGAATTTTATAATATTTTATTAAAAGAAAATAAATTACTTTATACAATTAGTTCAGCACAAAAGTATACAAAAATAGCAGAAGACCAACCATCGTCATCAAAATAAATATTTTTGTATACTTTAGAGCTGAACTAATTGCATCAAGTAATTAATTTATATATCAAAAACATGATACAGTACTCATTAAATTTAAATTTGTTTTTTTTATATTATTATATTTAATTAGGCAACTAATACAAAACATCTATAAAAATAATTCTTAACTAGTTCACCATTAATATAAAAATAAAATTGTTTTCATGTATCTACTATGTATTAGAATAATTATTCTTCAGATTATTTTGTTTTTTTAAATGTCCCATATTTTAAAATTATTTTTATGGTCACCCTACCATAAACCACACATCATTAAGTTGTCAAAAATCGGTTGGAATACGTATGATTTAATTTTTTTTTTTGAAACTGTATGCAATTTTTTGATGAAATTAGTGGTTTGATTTTCGAAATGATTATTACGGAAATTATTATCATTCAATTATTTAAAATACTTTAGTTCTATGACGCAATTAATATTTTATAAACTGTCACTTCAGATAAATAAATGCAATTTGATGAAATAAACAACTATTTTTACAGTAACCTGTGCTAGACTTATAATAACATTAATTCAATAGTATCAGTAAATTAAACAAACGAAAACCATACCTCTATCAGAACACTCGAAATACTGAGTTTCTCGGTGAAGGAAATTAGCAAGTCTTGAAAATAATCATCTGTTCATTACCCTAATATAAAAATAATTGGTAGGGGGGAGGGGTAAGAAATATAATGATTTAGACTGCAACACTTGCAAAAGAGTTCTGGACACGCCTATGTACACAAAAACGTATTAGATTCCAGTATGTATAAACAACTTATATCTGTTTTTATGCCAATAAGTAGCTACTATAATATGCCATTTTCATTGGACAGTGCCAATCATCTTATATTTTTTCAATTGTGCAATTTATCGAGTCATAAACTGTGTTTTTACTAGCGGAGGTCAAAGTACACAGGTCTATTGTAATTGTTCTTTGGATTGACTCTCACCATTGGAACGTATTTTTAGACATAGGTTCAACATGGAAAGTAATGAACAAATATTATATACAAGAAACACTGATAAAGTATTTGAAGTTTTCCAATCTTTGAGAAAGTATGTTGTATATTATTAAATTTGCTAGAGACATTAATATTAGTAATAAATCTTTGTTTTTAGCGATGACTTTTTGTGTGATGTAATACTAAAAGCTGATAATGGATATACAGTCAATGCACATAAGGTCGTTTTAGCAGCTGCATGCCCATATTTCCTTGCAATGTTCTCTCATTTTAAGGAACGGGAAAAAAAACATATAATTATAAANAGTATACAAGAAGTATGTTGTGACCTTCTAAAACGTATACTGCATCCAACAAACTGTTCAGATATCTGGACATTGGCTGATTTATACAGCTGTCAGGAATTCCTGCCAATCTGTGAATCATACATCAAACAACACTTTTCGTATGATATATGACAGCTGTTCAAATTTCTTAGAAATATTTTATTAATTTAATTTTTTTTCACAGAGAGGTGGTTAAAAGTGATGAATTCCTATCTTTATCGTTTGATCAATTTTTCAAGCTAATTTCCAGTGATGAACTGACTATATTGTCTGAAGAAATAGTAAGGGGATTAAAAACATTAATTATATTTAGATAAATCAAACAAATCGAGTTTATATTTTATGTGATGTAATCAAATTGTATTTTATTTATTTCAATCCTGATTTTTGATAGGTATTGAAATGCGTTGTTAAATGGGTGAATAATTTACCAAATTCTAGAAAAGATGTCTTACCAAAATTAATAGCGCAAATACGCTTCTCATTAGTGCCAAAAGAATGTTTATTGGAAGCGCTGGAAGAACCGATTATCAAAAACAGTCCTGAGTGTATGTTTTTCTTCCAAACTATATCTAATGTGATTAAATATTTTTTATTATATTAAATACGTATTTCAGGTCAAGGTTTGATAAATGAAGCATTGCATATCTGTTCTAAAGATAGTCAACTCGTTTTAAAAGATATTCATGGTAAACGTAGACGAGTTTTACATATGGTAAGATTTTGTTAGTAGTTTTTTAATTATTAAACTAAGTTTGAGTATTCCTTCTTAACGGGTTATATTATTGTTTTAGGAAAGAAAGATACGTGAACCAATTGTGTGGGATTTTCCTACAAATGGCTATTTTCCTTTACGTTTTAGACGAGATCGGGTACTATCAGATTTGATGATATCTGGACATCCAGTATCAGAAGTTGACCGTTTATATGCTTTGACTGTAAGAAGAAACAGATATATTTGCTTTTAATATCAAATAAATTTTTGTACATTGTGAGTCTGAGTGGAGAGAAGCTGGTTTTAACAAGATGTTTATTTTGTTTTTTTTTATTTGTGAACAATTTTTCTACCAGAAATCTATCACTAATTTTTAAAGGTAGCACCTTTTCTGAAATTTAATCAGACTGGTAAGGTTTTTTAGGGAAGTCATTCATTGATTTTAACCGAGTTTTTCTAGAAAATGTGAAAAAACCTAAAAAAAACTTAGGAAAAACTGAAAATATGTACAATATTAAATAAATATTATAAAATAAAATGAATCATAACTACTTAATTAATTTACTATAATATGACATTTATGTTACTATTGTGATTGTGAATGTCCACAGTTAGTAAACACTGACATTCACAGGTTAATGTTGACATACACTCCTAAATTGGTGAATGTTGAATAATGAAAAAAAATATAGACATTTACTAATGAATGATGACATTCACATCAGGTTTTTAGTCAATATTGACATACACAACATTGGTTGGGTTAATATTTACATACGTATTTGCACATAAAGTATAGACTATAGACTATAATTTATTATTATACAATATATCAAATAGGTACGTGTTTAATTTAATTAACAAGTTATAATTATTATTAAACAATAGTATATTTATATTGTTTATTTAAATTACAATTATTTTACCATACGGCATTTATTACTTATTGGAATATGGCAAACTGTCATGACATTTTGTCTTACATACAATTCAAAATTTTTATAAGTACATTTTTTGTGGTGCACTTTATTTTGAAATTACATTGTGTATATCATTGTCTATTAATTGATTAATTTGATACAGAAACTTGCCTTGAGGAAATTGTTTGATCCCTTAGTACATCAGTAATTTATGATAAATTTTTTTTATGTTAGTACCGAAAACTGATTTCTTGCGTACTTATAATCTATTAACAACATCATTTTTGTTAGGAAGTTCATAAAAATCATTATCTACTATATATAATACTATACCTAAAATATTTTGAGAATTTATTTTACCACGATCAAGATTAACATCTGGGACTCAAATACAGATAGTTTCCCCAACTTTAGAAACTTTTGTTTCAAATAAAACATTTATACAATTATTAACAAGTTGTAAATTTACTACTTACTATTTAATTAATTAATTTTTTAATACTATTTTTTAGATACTAAGTAGTATGTCTAGACTTTAGAATAGTAATAACTGTCTTATTATTGTAGCTTATCCACAAATCAATATCAGCATTACCAACATTCAACAAAATCATTATATAAATGTTGACATTCATTAGTGAATTTTAAAGCTTATTTTGAAGCCTATTTTATTATTTAATATTTTACCATAATATGACATACATGTATATGTATATTATTGAGTGTTTATAAAACATCACTATCAATTGAACTCTGCTGAATCTGAAACTGAATAGATCTTTTGTAAGCAATGGCTTATTGTTGCTTATAGATATACATTAAATTCTCTTCTGTATCCTAACTTCTCACCTACTTCAGTGGCTGCACCTGTACCCATTATTCAAGGACAGCTTCTTTTTTTCTACTCACTCGAAAATATATCAATACCTATAAATATTTCTGTATAATATAAAAAATTTCCTTGCACTATTAAACAATTTACTTGATTTTTATGATGTTTTCTAATTACAGGGATTGGAAAATTTAAGCATCCACAATTCACTAATTAGGCGTAACAGTACATTATTGGGCCATACTTCATGGTCAATAAACAATATATTTAATTTTTAGTATTGGTAAAATTTTTATTTTTATATTATTTTTTATACATGTTTAAAAATTATTTTTATTGTTATAATTTTTTGTTATACTTTTAGATTCTAATAATTTATACTTGAAATTCTTAAAAATTGGAAATAAAAGAGGATATCATGTTCAGTGAACAACCTATCAACCAACCACGAAAATTGTTTGGAGAATTTCACCATCTAAATGTACATTATATATTTCATTTCTTCAACAAACTTGATGCTTACTTTTTACCGCTTCGAAGTATGACCACGGTCTAATTTTATTATTATAAAATTAATTTTCACACTAATATTAGATAATTGTCATTATTATAATGTCTCTACTTTTATAAGTTTATCTACTTTGTATTGTATATAAAATATTAGTTATATAATTATAAATCCAAAATAAAAAAATGCATTTATTTAAAATTCTGTAATCACAAGTAACTGTTAAGTTTTTCTTAAATTTAAATTCAAATTGTTTAAGTATTTCTTAAATTACTATTTATAAATATCATGAGATGAGATTTCTTTTAGTTAAACTTAAATATTTCCTTAGCCATTTCTTAGTAAATATTGTAAATCTGGTTTATTAATACCAATTTCTAGTTTTAGTTAAAATTAAACTAACCTTTTTTTTTAGAATCATTAATAAGTTTAGCTAATAATATAAATATATAATTATTGTCAAATGAAAATTGTATAAAATATTTTTTTTTTTTAAGTCCAATTTTCCCAATTTTTCAGGAATGATGAAAAACTAAATAATCTATGAAATGTTAATGTAAAAAATTCAAAATTGTCGACTCTTTATTTCATTAGATCACTTGAAAATTTCATTTAATTTGTAAAAAAAAATGTTTTTAGTTTTTTTTTAATTAATAAATTTAAGTTATGTATATGTTTTCTTTCTGCAGAAAACATTGTTTTCATATCTTATTTATTGATGTAGGAGAAATATTATCAAATTATTTTTTTTATTCATCAATTTATTTTTGCCATGTATAACTTATGTTATTATTAAACATAAATATAAAATTATTTTTTACGTTTTACAATGTTTTTGGAACTACAACTTACCATTTAGATACATTGATGATATTTTAATACATTTTTGTCATTATATTTTTAGTCAAGTCAAATCATTTTGATCACATTTTAAAGGCCATTTATACTTCTTATTGGTTTCCAACAAACCCATTAAAAACCTAATAATTGCATTGTTTTTGTTTTGACCAGCACAGTTATCACAAAAAATATAAAGCCGTTCAACTTCTTTATCAATATCATTATTGATGTAATGATTTATAAATGATATGACTTCGTTAGGTTTTTTACCAACTTCCCCTTCATGATAAACGTAGCATTTCATACTTTCTGTGGATAAGTTATTAACACCAAAATTACAAACATTGAGTTGTCTATAATAATTAAGATCTTGGACAGGTATTGAAGGTAAAAAAAGATTTGCCTTGTAATCTATACAAATACCTACAATTTTTATCGTCCTGGCATATTTTTTTAACTGAACTTAAAGCTGTATATAACTTTTCACTACGACGCTTGTGAACTAACAATTCAGCAACAGCCACTTTCTATGAATTTTCGTTAAGACTTTGAGATTTTACGTTGGCATTTAGCTCTTCATAAGTGGGACACGTTTTGTGGACGTCCAAATCTCAGATTAAAATTTTCCTTAAAATACGACCAGAAAGGTTTATAAGAAACTTTATGATAAGGATATTTTTCTTTAAATATTTCGTATATTTTTTTGACAGATAATTTTGAATCCAGATATTTGTCTTCCTTTCCAGTATGGTGAGATAATTTTACTAGAAAAGATTCTAAATGACTATGAATATCTGTCATAATTTCACCACCTAATGAATTACCACTAACATTTTTTCCTCGTATATCTCGTGGACTTTGATTATTTTTAAATAAAAAAATTAGCCGTTCACACCGTTTTTTTGTTATACCGGAAACACTCAAAAAAGTACTTTTACATACCATTTGTTTGTTTGTTTGAAACGTCACGAAATATTTTATTGAAACCGATTTAGGCTTGGCTTGTTCAGCACACATTTCTAATCTGCTTCGTTTTCTCTGTACGGGGTGTAGTTCCATTAAACGTTGTATGTAAATATCTTGCTGGTCCTTATTCTTCATTTGGTTGAACATTTCAAGTATACTTTTTTTTTCGTCATCAGTAAATACAGATAGACATTGTTTTCTACATCTATGGACCAACAGTTTTATTTTAATACAATTATATTATTTAGTAATGAAAATTAGTGTACAAACGTGCATATTGTTGCTAGTAATTTTTTATGAATTTCATTCCCAGTGTAATTTATATAAGATTCACCTCATACTTTCACATTTCTAATAATGTTACGTTTATATTTGTTGTAGTTTATTACACCTTTCTTTCTTTTTAAAGTTCCGAAAATTTCTGCCTCAGAATCAGTCACAATTCATATTCAAAAGTGAAATAACTTCACAGTTCACACTATACTTTACTGTAGTAAAGGCTACGATATACTGATTTACATTACACATAATGATGGTTATGGATAATATTAATAAAAGTATTTTATAATTATAATAAACCTTTTGGTATTTTGTTCAAGACGTATTGTATATTTATAGTACATTAATATTGATTTCAATATAATTAAGATAAGATAAATTAATAATAATTATACATATAATCTGTTTACTGCAGAAATGGTACATGTTCCCTTTTAGTAGTAAACTGAAATTTCCAAACACTATATTTAGCGTTTGGATAGTGTGATTTGACACCTTTCTGCAGTAAACGATGTATTTATGCGTGCTTAATGAAAAATGATAATAAAATCAAAATTGATAAAAATGGACTTGTGATTTTTCTGCAGTTAGCGATTCATATACTTTACATGTTTACTAAATTTTTATTCGAAAAATTGAAATTTCAATTATTATATTAAATTTGTAATTAAATTAATGATGTATAAAATTAAAATACTTTCATCACTAATATTAATTGAACTAACTAATAAGTAGTGATCGGATTTTAAGGTAAAAGGCTTTTTTTCAATAATAATAATAAAATAAGTTTTATACAAAAATATATTTCATTTAATATCGAAGATGATGGATGGACTAGATTCGGAGCGTAGCGAGGAATCTATTATTGTTACTGTGATGTGTTTTCGTATTATTATTTTTTTGTTTTTTGTCTGTGAACAACTTTTCTACCATAAAACTTGCTCCGAAATATAAACTGTAGCCTTTTCTGAAAGGTGATTTTTTCTCATTAATGCATTGAGGAGGTCATTTTTCGATTTTCCGAGGAGTTATTAAAAAAATTGAGAAAGCCCTCTAAAAAAAAATTAAGGTAAAACAAAAAATATTTATGGTGCGCCTCGGCGTTACCATTTTCATTGTTTTTATTATATTAACACGGTATTTTCTACCATAAATATCGTTGGTTACAGGTATAAATTGAATATCTATATGAATCTCACCTTCCCCACTACCCACCAACAATTTCGTAGCCACAACAGTCACTGGTATCAACCCTTTTTTTTTTTTTTTTTCACTTATAAAGGCCATTTTGATGGTGATAACGTTGATGATTTAATAAACAGTAATCTTAATTTATATAATTATTTATGTATGAAATACGTTTCAATAACTTCAGTGGACGTAGAACGATTATTTTATGTATACATAAATATTTTGAGCCCGAACCGTTAATGTTTTACTGAAGACAATTTATTTGAGTACATAGTAATGAATTTTTTTTTAATATACTAATAAAAGAATATAAGGGGAGAGAAAGTACGCGATAATTGTTACTATCTCTAAAGTGACCGGCGGGTAAAAAGGTTTGGGCAACGATGCTCTATTCAACTTAAGAGTACACCGGGCGGCAGACGAAAACACGTCCGTTTTCGCGCATGCATTCCTACTCCCGGTTTTCGGTACCACGCATCAACTCACCCACCAATCAATCGGGTCTCCCACTGTTACCACCTGTCATTATCGAGCCGTTGCCGATAAATATATGGTATACGACATACGTGGTGACCAAAATATCGATAACATTTTATTTTAATGGTCTTACCACGTACACGAATTTTCACACACAAACGCTCCGTTTTAACGTACAATTTACGTTTTAAGTAACATAATTTAGCTATGTTTCCCATTAGTTTAATTGAAATAATAAATGCATGTATAATACGATGATTTATTTTGCGGTGGGTATGTATATATTATATCCCACTGTATACATGGCACCAGTAGCGATAATCACGGAGCACGGTATACAGGATTCTACGGCGGCGGTGTACGAATGTACGATCTGCAACAATTTATTATTTCCGATCAGTTAATTACACAGTTCGGCAACTTACAGCGCTCAACCGCATATGCGCTAAACGATAAACTATTAAGTTCAATAGTCTAGATTCATTTTTCATATATTTATAATTATTTTATGTAGATATTTAAAGTGATATGATATGGTATAATTTAACGCTATACGATAACATACAACACTACCATCAACAATTAAAAATAATCTTAATTCGGGCTACCAACCATGAACCTGATAATATATGGAATGCGCTTAGAGAGAGAAGCACGGGGACGAAATTGTTAGAAAGAGAAAAGAGACTGATGATGAAAATACAATTTCTAGGGTCAAATAAAAAATTATGTTACAATAAAATTGGGCCGATCATTATTTTTGTGGTATTTGTTCTATTTATTTTGTTGACATAAACCTGATAATAATTTTTAATTTAAAAAACCTTGATTATTGAGTATTAATAATAGTGTTTATAATATAAATGGAAAAAAAGTTTAGTTATACATTCATGATTTCCTCTGTTATATTCCTTTTCTCTCACTCTATATAGTCCCCGAGATTTGATGGTAAGGCGGTGAGAAAGGCGTTGTCCATATGTTTATAGGTCTATGCTACCAACCAAACATATAAGTACCAACCTAATATGACTATTTGGGTACGTGGTAGCGGACAAATCAATAACTATCTGTGTGTGTGTGTGTGTGTGTGTTATATTGTATGAGTATAATATTATTTATGTAGGTCAAAGGTTTTTGAGTATTGAACTTAAAGATTCTTTGACTATATTTTTTGATCTTGTTTTGTTGATGATAGTATTTTGTCAAATAGCTATCTGTTGTTATCGTGTAGTTTTATAAATTAATTGGTTTTTAAAGGTGACACCGTTTCAACTATTAAGTCTTTCAACACTTCAAAAGTTTGAACTGCTCACTGAATTTGAATTAAGAAGGCACGTAAGTATTTTTTAATTTAGTGACAATTCAAAATCAATTGGTCCTTATAATATTATATACAGTAGTACAGAATACTAAACGAGTCGAAACGAAGTACAGCGAATAACAAAACGAAAAATTACATTTATATTTTTTAATTATCGCGGAAATTATTATTATTAAATTATTTAAAATACTTTACTTCTATGACGCGATTAATATTTTATAAACTGTCACTTCAGATAAATAAATGCAATTTGATGAAATAAATAACTATTTTTACAGTAACCTGTGCTAGACTTATAATAACATTAATTCAATAGTATCAGTAAATTAAACAAACGAAAACCGTACCTCTATCAGAACACTCGAAATACTGAGTTTCTCGGTGAAGGAAATTAGCAAGTCTTGAAAATAATCATCTGTTCATTACCCTAATATAAAAATAATTGGTAGGGGGGGAGGGGTTAGAAATATAATGATTTAGACTGCAACACTTGCAAAAGAGTTCTGGACACGCCTATGTACACAAAAACGTATTAGATTCCAGTATGTATAAACAACATATATCTGTTTTTATGCCAATAAGTAGCTACTATAATATGCCATTTTCATTGGACAGTGCCAATCATCTTATATCTTTTCAATTGTGCAATTTATCGAGTCGTAAACTGTGTTTATACTAGCGGAGGTCAAAGTACACAGGTCTATTGTAATTGTTCTTTGGATTGGCTCTCACCATTGGCACGTATTTTTAGACATAGGTTCAACATGGAAAGTAATGAACAAATATCATATACAAGAAACACTGATAAAGTATTTGAAGTTTTCCAATCTTTGAGAAAGTATGTTGTATATTATTAAATTTGCTAGAGACATTAATATTAGTAATAAATCTTTGTTTTTAGCGATGACTTTTTGTGTGATGTAATACTAAAAACTGATAATGGATATACAGTCAATGCACATAAGGTCGTTTTAGCAGCTGCATGCCCATATTTCCTTGCAATGTTCTCTCATTTTAAGGAACGGGAAAAAAAACATATAATTATAAAGGAGTTAGATCCAACAGCCTTAAAAANTATTTTTAATATTTTAAGATTTTGTTAGCTGGTTCGACCCTTTTACAATTGCACAGTATACAAGAAGTATGTTGTGACCTTCTAAAACGTATACTGCATCCAACTAACTGTTCAGATATCTGGACATTGGCTGATTTATACAGCTGTCAGGAATTCCTGCCAATCTGTGAATCATACATCAAACAACACTTTTCGTATGATATATGACAGCTGTTCAAATTTCTTAGAAATATTTTATTAATTTAATTTTTTTTCACAGAGAGATGGTTAAAAGTGATGAATTCCTATCTTTATCGTTTGATCAATTTTTCAAGCTAATTTCCAGTGATGAACTGACCATATTGTCTGAAGAAATAGTAAGGGGATTAAAAACATTAATTATATTTAGATAAATCAAACAAATCGAGTTTATATTTTATGTGATGTAATCAAATTGTATTTTATTTATTTCAATCCTGATTTTTGATAGGTATTGAAATGCGTTGTTAAATGGGTGAATAATTTACCAAATTCTAGAAAAGATGTCTTACCAAAATTAATAGCGCAAATACGCTTCTCATTAGTGCCAAAAGAATGTTTATTGGAAGCGCTGGAAGAACCGATTATCAAAAACAGTCCCGAGTGTATGTTTTTCTTCCAAACTATATCTAATGTGATTAAATATTTTTTATTATATTAAATACGTATTTCAGGTCAAGGTTTGATAAATGAAGCATTGCATATCTGTTCTAAAGATAGTCAACTCGTTTTAAAAGATATTCATGGTAAACGTAGACGAGTTTTACATATGGTAAGATTTTGTTAGTAGTTTTTTAATTATTAAACTAAGTTTGAGTATTCCTTCTTAACGGGTTATATTATTGTTTTAGGAAAGAAAGATACGTGAACCAATTGTATGGGATTTTCCTACAAATAGCCCATTATTTCTGCGTCTTTTAAATATGTTTAATGTTATGATATCTGAAAATACAAATTTTAGATATCCTATTGCACTTAGTTTGCCTGTAAGTTAAAACAGATATATTTATTTTTAGGAATTAATTAAATTTATGACATTATTTTAAGTTTAATACTAATTCATAATAAAAGTCATGTTATGTATGGGTGAGACATGATAATGTTTGTTACATATAAAAGATCATACATATTCCATACGAACCTTGTGATCAAACATAGTGTATACAACATACAACATTTCTCTCTTATGATAAAATTAAAATTATGAAAATTAACAATTTTTTTTTTTTTTTTCTAAGGGACAATATAATAATGAGTATAACTAATGATTAAGCTTTATTTACTTAACTTTAGTAAACATAATAGTCACATAACTATAATATTGCTATTAATAGTCTATAACTAATAATAATAATAACCTATAACTTGCCATCATAACTAGGTTTAATACAAAGAATAATACAAATATTCAATACATTAAATTAATAAAATTACCAATACAATACAAACCAATACAATTAAAGTTTCTCTCTAACTGATTTTTAATCTACCCTGCTCGATCTTTTTTTATCATTTTCTTTGCAACATTCTCCTTGTTGACTTTATTACACTCCTGCTACTTTTATCTTCCTCAATTTTATGTAATAAATCTAACTTACAATACTTCTTATCCTAATTAGTTAAATTCGTTAGATGACAGTTTCAAATGCTAAATATTTCTTCTAATTATATTCCCACTACCAATTTTCACTCAGTAAGACCTTTCTTACCACTCTACCCGGCATTCATTTATCTTTTGTAAACACCACTATACTTTGTCCATATAAAGGAATCCCTTTTTTTTAATTCCTCTCATCATACCACTTTACATATTTGTTCTGTGGTTTTTTTAAACTAGAATGTTTGTCTTTCTGAAGTGTTGGTTTAAATTTTCTTTTTATACCGGTAATTTTGGTTTTATTATTAGGTTTGCTCATTTATAATTCAGCTGGAGACACATTAAGCTCCATTATAGGAGTACTATGGTATTTTATAAAGGTCGCTTTTAAGTCACTTTTTCCACTATTAAAGTTTTTAATAATTATTTCGCTATATGAACTGCCTTTTCATTTAAACAACTAAACAATTAATTAAATTGTATATCATGATATATGCTGCTATGGTTTTTGTTTCTCATGTTAACATATAATTTGATTCTGTTATCTAGACAATTTCTACTTAGCCACTTATCAAGACAATATTATAGAATTATACTCTGTACCATATCCTGAATTAAATATTGTGAATTGTATATATATATATATATATATATATACCATTATTTGGATTATAATGTTTTATGCAGTTAATTTAATCAGAAACATCAAATTTACTTTTCCTTCACTATTATATAAGTAATTTGGTAATAGTAAGGCCACAATATGTATATTTTAAGGTGATATGTTATAATTAAATCATACTCAGTTCAAAAGTCTTCTTTTTTATTATTTTTAAATTATTATAATTATTATATAAATATAAATATTATAAATACCAGTGGCTTATAATCAGTCCACACAGTCATTTTTCTAGTTTAGATTATATGTTTGAATGTATTACAAACAAATATTTACTTCAGAATTCTTTTTCAATTTGATCATACCGGACCTCTGTATTAGTTAAACTCCTGGATGCACACGCAATAGGTTTCCTATCATATTGAGCAAGATCCCAGTTTGTTTTTTGATGCATCACTTTGGATAATAATATCCTTAGTTAAATTCAATACATATCAAAGATTATAAACTTTCAATCAATTAAAAAACTATTAATACGATGTTAATCTGTTATAAATTATATATAATTTCAAAACTAAAATTAAACAAACTTAATAAACAGCACCAATAAAAACTACAAAAATAAGCCTGATAAAATATTAAAACAAAATATTATAGTTAAACAACAAAATACAATTATTAATATAGTGAATAAATTAAAAACAAATAATTCATAAATCGTTCTGTTAGATAAATCTAATGCTATTGTTATTATTTAAACTAATGAAATCTATAAAAAAAATGAGATTTTATAAATAATAATAATATTTAAAACTTAACATATGACCCAACTATAATTTTACTAAACAAATTAATAAACTGATAACAAATCCGAAAGAAATCATACCTAAAGTCCAAAAGAAAATATTATTAAAATCTGATTACAAAATAGAGGCTCCACACTTACAACCATTCATATAATTTTATAAACAAGATAATCCGATTAGTCCATTAATTAACTTTAAAACTGCTCCAGCTTATAAGCTGTAACAAGGTTATAACCTTGTTAAATATTTAGACTCTCTCATAAAAGAAAAATTAAAAATAAATATTGATACTTCTTTTAAAAAGCACTTATAATTTTATTGATAAAATTAATAAAATTAATATTGAGCCAAGTTACAAAATGATTTCACTTGGCATCAAAAATGTATGTACATTCATTCCTAAACACAAAACAGTAAGTTTTTTTAAAAAATTAACCTGTAAATAGTAATAAATTTAATACAAATGAAGTAAAAGAAATTATTCAATCAATAAATGTAATTATTAATCAAAACAATTTCGCAAAAAAAAAAAAAAAACGTTTAGTTATGGGTAGTCCTTTAAGTCCTCTTTTATCTGAAATTTACATGCAAAATTATGAAACCAATAATATTATTAACAACAAAATATATAAAAGTATATTATAGATATATTGATAGCACTTATTTTAGAGGTTCAAATAGATAAGTAGACAATTTAGTTAACTGTTTAAAGAAACTAAATAAAAACATTCAATTTACACTCGAAAAAAAATAAATAATGAATTTAATTTCTTAGATCTTACAGTTTCTATAATAAAAAATAAATTAGATTTTAGTATTTCAGGAAACGTATATAAATTGATACTATAATACCACATGATTCTAATCACCTTTATCCTCAAAAAATATAATTATTAATTCAATATTCTATAGACTTGAACGTATTTCATTAAATAAACATAATTATCAACATAAGCTCAATATTATCTACAATATAGCCCATATAAACTATTTCAATTTAAATATTATTAAAAAAATTCATAAACGTATTAAAAAAAATAGTAATACACAACTCACCAAATAATGTTGTTAACTATTGTAGTATGATATAACAAAATAATTTGTCTAACGAATTAGCCAAAATTCTGAACAATAATACAAATAATATAAAAATCGCTTTTAATACTAATAATAATTTAATTAAACATAAAAACAATAGAACTAATAACTTCACAAAAATCTCCCTTCTTTTGAAAATGTTAGTATGTGTAATCTTAAATGTATCTGTAATACATTTTATATAGGTAAGACAATAAAAATTTTAAAATTAAATATAAAGAACAAATTAAAAAAAATATTTCTGAAATAAAATTAAAAAAGACTGTTTTTAATTAAAATTTTGCTAAACATGTTTTAGAAAATAATCATAATATAAGATTTTATATTAACACTGACTTAGAAATATTAAATATCCAAAATAAACATTTAAATTAATTCAGTTTTAGAAGAATTATACAATCATAATGAAATAAAGAAAAATAATTTAAATAATATCTTATAATAATACATTTTAGATAATAAATAATAATCAAATATTTCTTAACATATTTATGTTTAATAATAACTTATTTTAAATAATCTCTCCTATTAAAATATATTATTTCTATATTCTATGTAAAATATATATTATTAATTATATATTATTACTTTATTTAATTATTTATATTCAGTTGCATTTTACATTTTGACTGTGATATACCTGATGATGAGTTTTTAATTCAAAACCGGTAGTATAATATATCATAACACTGAAAGCAACGAATTCGTTAATTTATTATTTTATATTTATTTTTATATGTATATTTTTTATTTATATATTATCTATGAGTATTAACATTTTAGTAATTTTGTTTTTACTTTATTATTTTAATAATATTAATAATTATTAAATTAATATTTTATTAAATATCCTTTTTTCGTTAAAAATGTACCAAACATGATGAATTTGCAATTCATTTATTTTTTAAATTTGCATATGATTTCTCGTGCCTTATATTCTATTTTCACACAATATCTTTAAGCAATAATTTACTTAGAAGACTAGTCACTGATAAAATATTAGGAACAAATTCACGCAAATAGTTACACATACCTATTATTCTCTGTTATTTCACTCTACAGTTTGTTTTTCAATTCCACAATAGTCTTTACTTATTTCTAGATCAGGTACCATACCAATCTCATCAAATTAATTTCTATTAGACAATACAGTAATTTACTTTCATTAAACTTAATATTCATATCCTTAGTTCACTTTAGGATTTAATTTATTAAAGCATAATCCTCTTCTAAAGTTTCAATAGCTACGCCAGTAATCATCAAAATATTGTATTAAATTTTCCCCATCTTAAGTCCTTAAAACACTCTCAAATCCTATAATTAAATGCCTCTAGTGCACTTAATATGCCAAATGAAATTTTCGTGAACTTGAAATAACCCATAGGAGTGCCAAATATACATAATTCTGATAATGCAACGTACAATAATTTTACATGCAAAAATCAATTACTTTTTATGTCAAAAACACTAAAATACTTCTTACTAGCTAACTTTATTTTCTTGCATCACCCAATATATATTCTCTCACAACTATTTTATTTATCTCCTGTGGTCTGAGCACATCATTACATTCCCATCTGCTATATAAACTATGACAACATTGTTTGCCCACCAATTTGGTTATTCAACTGCCTCTATGATTCCACTTTTCAAAAGACAATGAGTTAAAATAACTCACTTTTTAATTTCTTCAATCCTGTCTGAGTAACTATCCTGATAGGTGGTTTAATAATACCAATCTGACTATAATTTTTATTTTTTTTTTTTTTGTACACGCTCGAAAAGATTCCCATACCCTTAAATATTTCTGAATGATTAACTATAAAGGATTTCCTTGCACTATTAACTACATTATATGCTCTTAAATAATTTACA